GTGATTATTTCAACATGTTGTAAGAATAATAAGGAATTACTCAGCTTTATTGATCCTGGTACTGCTAGGTGCTGCAAAGCACTGAATAGTGTTGCGTTGACTGCCTTTTGCTCATGTGAAAGGCATTGTAAGCTAGTTTGTGGACCTACACCACACTTGTGTAAATATGTGGATTACCCATACTACTTATCCAGGCTTCCCTCACACGGGAGACAGCTGCAGTGCCACCAAACCACTGCTCTAACCAATTCTATTGGATATCATAGGATGAGGCCAATTAGTTAAAAATTGAGTGCCCCCTGATAGTTTTTATGATGTCTGGTTGTGGTGGTGTTTTGATGCTATTGAACAATTTGACTGAAAGGGTTTGGGGTGACAGAGTTGACAGAGTTCATTGCTTATCAAAGAGTGATCACTATTTGTTTATTATCAGCTTCCTAGATAGGGATAGAACAACAAATCAGGATTTCAATAGCAAACATATGTTCCAACAGTGGTCCTTTCAAGGCCAGTATAACACCATAGTTGATGCCTTTGCATCACAACAGAGATTAATGTGCCCCTGCAACTACTGCCACCAAACTTTAGGACAGGGAATTTTTGCTGATGATTAGTGATGCTTGAAAGTAAGTAAATAACTTCCCAGTTCTGCTTTCTATAATTATCCAAGCTTGTGACCTTAGAACAGCTCTGTAGCTTTTCCACCTGACGCTGCTTTAGCTGCATTTGCTTTATTGCCAGATACGGCAGATGGCCAAGTTCATGCCCCTCTTTTCTGTTAAAACATCATCAGGTTCTTTAATAGATAAGATGACAAATTCTATCATACATTTGCATTTCAGGTTTCAGAGACATTTCCCTCCACATGCGCGGAAATGTCATTAATCGCAGTCACGATGTCAAGGACTAATTTATCTGCTAACAGATCTGATGCTTGGCTTCTTTCTGCTTTGGAAAGGGGTGATTGGCAACAGAAAAGAGGCTAACGGTGTGGGGTGAGGAAAAGTGGAACCTTCCATTTGTATGGAAAGTCAATTGCCAACTCTACTTGCAGTGCCCACCTCTTGGCAAGCAGCCTCGGATCTTACAAGCCACTTTCTGATTTAGAGGTATTATGCTTGGGATATGAGGCTGTTGCTTGTGTGTTCTCTCACAGAGTGGCAAACTTTGGATGAAATCCACCAAAATTAATGAGTTTAAAATATTATACAAAATTAATAAAAGCCAAAGCATCAACATTAATGATATTTTCTAGATTGTGAGCCTATTGCCATGTCTTGTGTTTTCTGTTTTTATACATCTAGTACGTATTTGGCCCTTTTTATAAATAATAAATGGTGATGTCGGTTTTCAAAAGATATTTCACTAATCCCCAAATCTGTGTTTTGTTAGCCTAGAACTAGACATTCAGGTTTTAACAAGGGGAAATCGTGGGTCTGAACTTGCTGTTTAGGGTGTTTGCTGGTGAACATTAGTTTTTGTATTTTATTATTAACTCGTTTCTAATCCCCTGTTGTAACATTAAAAATGACTCTAGAGTCTGCATATCACCCCATGGTATATACCAGTAGGTGAGCTCTCCAGCGCTGAATAGAAAAAGGAAATATAGGGAATATAGCCTGTTTCAGTCAGTTTCACTGCCGCCAGTCCCTGATTCACCACATTACTTTGGTAGGGCTGGGAGCTCTTCTAAAAAATCTGCATTCAGTAAACATATTGATGACACATCAGTCCAAATCTCTGGATGATGTCTTCTAGCTGTTACACATAGATGTTGAAGAGCTTGAGGCACCGGATATCACTAGCTGGTGGGCAGAACAAAAGTCCCTCAACATCACCTTCTCATTCTATCCCCTGGGAAGGACTGCAGCCACTGTAAGGCCATGCTGCCAAGTCCCAACAAAAAGAGATGACCTAGAATGATACCACAGTCAATTTCTTATGCTTTTGTCAACCACCCTGTATGATATAAATGAGCAAACAAGCAAGCAAACAAAATATAAATCTGTGGGATCAATTAACGCCTCCCATTCTTCTGGGTGTTGTGTACTTTACATTGTGCATATTATTTACCTTAGTGATCTCTTTGCACCTATATTGTTTTGTTGAAAAATGAAAGTTTGTAGTGAAGATGATGATGATGATTTATTTGAAGTGGGAACAGGCTTAATACCATCTCTTGGCATTCTTGGGGTATGCTTGACCCCCAGACTGGATTTATACAGTATTTTTTTTCTTTAGTTTTTTTAATTACTTTTTTATTCAAAATTAAAACAAAACATATTATCCAGAAACATATCATCCTTATTTTCCCCCTTGTTTCCTCCCTCCCCTCCCTCCCCCCACAGAACCCCCCACCCCGACTTCCCTCAGTTCCAGTCTTTGATTTCTCTAAAAATGCTGTTTTCTGCATGTTACACAGTTGTATAGATCCTCAAACTGTTTAGCTGATAATTATCAATAAAAAGTTTGTGAATGTTTATTCAAAACATACAGTAATATATATATATATATATATATATATATATATATATATGCAGGTTTTGGTGTCTTCGGGTGTCTTCCCGTGTAAAAGTTGGGGTGTCTAGGCGACGTTTCGACGAGGTCTCACTCGTCATCTTCAGGCTGGTGCTTTCGGCTTCTTGTTACTGGAACAGTAACAAGAAGCCGAAAGCACCAGCCTGAAGATGACGAGTGAGACCTCGTCGAAACGTCGCCTAGACACCCCAACTTTTACACGGGAAGACACCCGAAGACACCAAAACCTGCATTCCTGTACCCGTGAAAATCTACGAAAGCAAATATATATATATATATATATATATATATATATATATATATATATAGATATATATATATATATGAAATGTTTTTCTTTCTATTGACAAGGGGTTAAAAGAACAATTCAAATCAATTTCATTTGTCCAGCTGCAGCCTTTTAGGTTCCTGTCTTTTCCCAGCCTCACACCTTCTGGGCAACTCGCAGTGTTCTGTAAGCGACACTTAGTACAAATGGGGTTACTGGCTTTCTTTATTTGATAGTCTGTCTCAACATGCAATCTGTTTTCAACTCTGTCAGGCAAGGTGAATATAACTTTTCCTTTGCAGTCTCTGCATGACACTTCTAACCTTTTCCCGACATGAAGATATCAAGCATGTTGAAAAACACTACAAGCTTTAAATCAAGCCAGTGACCTTGAATGAAATGTTACGTTGCATTTTGGGCTGCATGTTGAAGTTTCACATTTCAGCCACCCCAGAAAGTGGTGTTGCTCCTTTTTAAAAATTGCCAGCCCCATGTAATATATGTGAGAGATGGTGAATATATGTCAAATCATCTCTCTTTGCTTTACCTGATGAGCTAGTGAATGAATCAGGTCAAATAGGGAAGATGTCAATAGAAGGAGGAGGGAATGGGGAGGTGAAGGTAACATAATAGGGAACAGAGGGAAGGAAGAACTAGGAACTGATGCGAACAAATGCAGCTGGAGTAACTAGGGCTTTGTTAGCTGGGGAGACAGTGTAGTGTCATGGTGAGAGTTTTGGGCTAGGCCCTGCAAAAAGAAAAACGGAGACATCAGCAGGTGCCCAGCTCCCAGCCACGCTAGCCCAGTCTGGGGCAGGAGGGGGGGACCTGGAAGGGCATTTCCTCCTACCTGATCTTATCAGCTGTGCCACCCTGTCCTCTCCATACGGGCATCTGGGCTCTGTCCCGACCAGCCTAGCACAGAAGCAGAAACCAAAGCCCTCCCTCTCTGAAATAACTTGAGAGGCTGTTTTAATGGGAGGAAACTTTGGGTGTTGCTTCTGCACCAAGTAGGGCCAGGAAGGAGCCATGCCCACACGGAGAAGGGGCAGTGGGGAAGAGGTGCGAGGGACATCAGCCGGGAACCGCAGGGATGTTGTTCGGTTCTTCATCCCGGGTGCCGGATCTGGAGCCTCATCCCTGGAGCCTGGCCTTGTGGAAGAAGCAGGATACAGTATGGGCTCTCATGTGAATGGGCTCTCACTGTCTGCAGATTCCCCAATTATTGCATTGCCACACCATGCTGCTGGGCAAACCACAGAGCATGAAATTGCTGGTGGCTCCTGACTTTTTAATGTTCACAGTTGTACTCTGTGTCCATCTGGGAACTGTAGCGTCAAACGCGAGCTGAGACCATGAATAGCCAGTGGTGGTAGAGGCGCAGTGTTGTCCCAGAGGATACATATGGGAAATGCCAGGGAACCCAGAAGTTTGAACTGACAGATCCTGGCTTCTGTCTTTCAGCAGGACTCAGGGACCACCCTGGACCCTCAGCCTTTCGCTGTTGCTCCTTGCCTCAAATTAAGAGCTTAAGGAGCCTCTTTTCAAAGGGTCACGCGCAGTGATGGTGCAAAGAAATAATACAAAATAAATCTCACTACGCTTCTGCCCTGTGCATGCTAAAGCCTGCTAGAGACGTTTCCCTTGAAACCATAGCTGTGTACCCACCACACCTTTGGGGTTATCCCCACTTCCCCTTGGGTCGTGTGCCCAGCAATCTCAGGTGTGTTAACATATTTGCTCTTTGCTAGACGGGCCAGCCTGGTTTGCAAAAGTCAGCCCAGGAATTCCTTGTCTGGCACAGTTGTGCAGCCTGTACTTTCATTGATATCCCAATTAATCAAAATTCTACCTTTTGTGTATTTCTGGGGTTTGGGGGGGGTCTCCGGCAAATGTAAAACATATTTTGCCTGCAACAGTTTTTAATGACACTATTGATGTGAACCGATGCATGATTTATAAAGTAAATAAAGCTTATTTTAAAGTCCCATGTTGATGCCTGATTCTTTCTTAAGTGGGGCAAAGGGAAGGAAGGCAGCTAGTTCATGGCTGGACTGCTCAAAAGAGGTTTTGCAGCAGATTCCTATC